ATGGGCGAAAAAAGCCAAATTTGTACATGCATTATGTCAGGTACCATGGGATTTTGTACGGTACCACGTTTAACATCGTTTCGATCATGTTCAATGATTCGTTCGATATTCCTAATGAAGCAATCCTGTTCTGATACTTTCAAAAATTACATCTAAAGGTACTAAATGTATTTAAAATTGAGAAGTATAGTAATGTCTAACAAATAGCATGCTTTGTAGATGGAAAAAAGATCATGGCCGAAGAGTGCAAAATTTTCTCAATTTTTGGAATGGTACGTTAATTGTCTAATTAATTATTAGTTATATGCAATCAACTGTTTTATGTATGTATGATTCTTTTTCTGCAATGGATACAGCTTCCAGAATCATGCAGATGTTCGTCACTCTACTACTGTGAGGTCAGAGACATTAAAATATTGGGGTATCATATTTCGCCCGTTTCCAAGCAGATCTTTATCGTCAGAAGTCGGCTTTTTCTCAATACATATAGTGAGTATTCTTTGCTCGTGTTCAATAATGCAGCTAAAGTATAGATTATACAATTGCATCGTCGTAAAAAGATACATACATATATCGAAATTTCATACTCGTGAAATACTAACTAACCACATTTACGTTGATAATTTCATAAATATTATTATATTTCAAACAATTTTAGTGGTTTTCCTTTCGTAATATATGTTTTGAATTGCATTACGAAAAATGATTTAATATATTTATGTTTATATTCTTGGAATATTTTAACGGTTGCTATGTATAATGGCGACTGAAACGTCATCTTTACGTAATAATTTCAGCCAATCACGATCGAAATTTTTTACTCTTTTGTAAATTCGAAATCAAACTGGAGTAATGTTATCTTTATTTTATGTTTTTATCGATAATTTCTTAAACATTAATGAGATTTTTTATGTTTTATTACTTTCTTTGCCATAATTTATTGTATTAAAGTGAAAAAAGCAACTTTGACTTTTTTCAATATGGCGTCTATCTTTCAACGTTTTAACGGTTGCTCCCAATCGAGCCAATCACGTGGTTCGAAAGGGTTTCAAAGTTATTCAATATTTTCAACCAATCACGTTCGAGCTTTCATCTCAATCTTGTTCAGAGTAGCTGAAGCGATCATTCCGGTAGCGTCACTCGTCATTTTTGGTTTAAATTTTTGTTCTTGTGTCAAATAAAAGTGATTTTACGTTTGAAAATATAAAAGAAATGTTAAGAGAAGACGAAACGAATCTGGTGTACTACTTTTTGGTTCGAATACATTATTGTAAGTCTAACTTCCTCTTCTTTCGATTTACAGTAGTGTTTTGGACATTACTGAATTTTCTGTACCGTGAAATTAACATAGAATTACGATTTTTATTGCGTAATCACAGCTCATAATGGGGTTTTATAGAATTATTAGCACGATTGATAATATAATAAGCATTTAAATGAAATTAATGCTAAATAATTAATAAAATATCTTTAAACATTTTTTTAAAAAAGCGTCTTTTTTTCTAGCTTATGTTATTAAGAAATATGTTCTATTCATTTACAGAATTGGAAAGGAAGATTCCAAAAGCAGAGTGTGCAACTATAATATGGGGCTTCACCAAAATAAATGTAAGTTTTTTTCTTAAATAATTAAATTAACTTATCATGGCTGATTTAATATTGCAGAAATATAGTGTTCTTGTTTTATTAATTATAGGACGGTCGACTGATGTCTGGATTTCAATCACCCCCCTACTGAGGAGATCATCAGCAGAGTACCACTCCCATTCAACCACCCCTCGATGAATGCTCACCGGGTCGGTGAGTCAAAGAATTGAAAGTTTCATTTTTATCTGAAGTGGGCATAGTGATTAACGAGTGGATGTATACTCGTTGTCATAAAATTTTTGTAGATTTTGCATTTTTACATTGTATTTCTTAGCTCAGGGTAGGGTCTTCTTGTCTCTTTCTTGATAATATGTAGAGTAGAAATCGGATGACCCTCCGATTTCACAAATAAAATAAGACTTTTAAACCTTTTATTATAATTAATAGAAGCTTCAATTTTTACAATCTATGCAGTATATATTATACTTTTAACATATATCTCCTTCAAAGTATACAAAAAAAAGTAAATAAAAAATAAATATCACGCCCCAATATGAACAATGCGAATAAACATTCAGTATATTAGTTTAATATCAACGAATATGGTAATATTTAGTTATATTGTCATTTCAAATGTTTAGTTTCATGGGCAAGAAGACATTTCGCGACAGTCAGATTCCGATGTCGAAGTAACAATTTCAAACGTACATTTGCTGTAATTTAAATAATTTACTTCGATATGGAATCAACTGAGGATGTATATTAATTAATAAATTACATTTTCAGCAATTACAACCTTTTTCTTGAAGTAGAGTCATTTTTTAAATATATCTTACTATAATTGAATGCAATTTTTTAAGTTTAAAATAATATAATTTTAATTCAAAGATTCTTTGCATAATAATTTATTTCATTAGTATAATTAATAATATCAATATTTATGAACAAATAGAAGTATTTTTAAAGATTAGAGTATTTTATTTTAAATAGATTTGTAGATGATTTTTTACATGATAATTTGCTTTCAAAATGATAATATTTATTAGCCCGTTAGCTCTATTATCTGTGTACTAATGTATGATTTTAGCTTAGGATTTTCAGCTTCCCACGGTAGGTGTGTTATTTCTTTGTCCGTACTCATTACTTATTAACCTGAACTCATTGACGAACCCAGGCGTGAGTTGTATGAGTAAGGGTGGTGGGTGCGGTTTTAGAATTAAGGAATATTTCAGCGACTGACAATCGTATTAGCGTATCGTGCACGACGTACGTTTCACTTGTATGTGTGTGCATTTGAATTAGTGGAATGTACGTCGGTTTTATCATTTAACTTAAATAATTTATCTAAATACATACAGAATAAATATGTTACACATTTAACAAATATTTATCATATTGCATACTGTGTAAATATCATACAATCATATGTATTGCCTTACATGAAAGAGAATCTATATTACACTGACTATATATTTGTTTGAAAATTTTTCATACGTATAAGTAATAATAATATTTTGCAATATGATATGAAGAATTTATACAATTTGAATATCATAGCTTTTTTAAATTGATGAAGTATTATTTATAACTGTACTTAATTTTATGAACAAGAAAGAATGGCTCAAAGTTAACATAATAGCATAAAGGATTGTATGTTCCAATTAAAGTTTCATAATGATGATACTGTAATAACTTTTACATATAATGCTGATTATATATTATAATAATATATCAATGTTATATTAATAATGACGCAATGTGCGCTACGGTGTCAGTCGATTTCAGCAAATGGTACGTACTTAAAGTATGAATGATGTGTGTACAAGCTCGGGTGACGGAGGCGTCCCGGGACGTTCTCCCTAGAGTAGGCCCTTGCACCCGGGTTGTATGTGTGAGAATCGTGGAGTGTGTGTGTTGGAATGAATGAGTTTTGCCTTTTTTAAATATAGGGATAGGCAGGCAGGTAGCTTACTTCTGGTATGTGTGGTTTAGATGTAAGTAGGTAAGGCCAGGGAAGCAGACCAATCACATTTCTCTTTTGGGTAGGCTCATAGGTCCGGTGAAAAGTCTGCACCTGGGATAGTACAATCGAAATCAATTAATTAAAAAGTAATTGATTTCGATTAAATTTTGGTCTATACCTAGTATGTAAGCTCGCCGGTGGCTCTAGGCTCGGACGAAAAAGGGCTGCTTCAATCAAATCTGCTCAAAAGTTCCTTTTTTTGTTACATACTTTGGACAGCTATTCTTTTAATAGTTGGTCATTGTGTGTGACACCCAATTTTAATACATTTCTAATTTTTATGGAATCTTTGAGCTGATTCATTGAGTAGCCGAAGAAAGAAGAGGATCATCGTTGGACGTCGTGGGACATCATCAAAGGATGGTTTTCCTTCTTTTTATGGAAAGTCATTCTTAAATTTTTATTCTTTTAATATTTTGCTTGTAACATTTTCTGATCACTATGCTCACTAGATATTGTTTAATATTATTGCCAGATCATATTATATTACTGTTCTGTAACTCATCAAATTATATACAGTTTATTTATTATATTATTATTTGGAGTCGTAAAGAAAATTTGTTTATTATGAATTTAATATTTTTTATAAGTATTAAAATATTATATTAATATTATAATTCGTATTTCTTTTTAATTTCTTTTTATTATAAATTTTCTTATAGCTGTTTAACAATAAGTACCTAATCTATAAAATTGCTGGCAATATTTATTTGCAATATCATTCTTGGGGGATATTAAAGAATTTTTCGCGTGTTCGTGTTTTCATAAACCCTAATGCGCTTTAACCAGCTGCAAGGGTTTGATTTTTTTTTATTGTACGTATTGGGGATGGGTTTTATAACTGTCGGGATAGAGGAAACTTCGTTAATTTTGGGGATCTGTAATATCGATCCCTGTGATTATTATTAATTTTTATTATTGATTGATTATTGATTTATTATTGATTTGTACTTCAGGTTTTTATTCTTTTTTTTTTTAATGTTTATGTTTCTATGTACATCAATATTGTTTTGTTATATTGTTATGTTTGTACCTTTACTTTATTTTGTATGTTTCAGAATTTTCATTACACATTATACCATTTTAATCGAATTGTCTTTTTTTATTTTAGATTTATTTAAAGTATTAAGGTATTTTCATGTTTATATGTGTATAATATATAAATTTTTTTTTTATATGTAAATACTTACATAAATATGCATTTTTCTGTATCAATAATTGAAAATAACAATAATTGATTTTTTCAGGTGCATCCCTAAAATTTTTTAAGGACTTTAATTGATAACAATAATAATTGACTTTTATGATTCCAGGTACATCCCTTAAATTTTTTAACGACTTGATTAATTTGCAAATCAATTTAAAATGATATTGTAGCAAACTGTATTACCTGTCGAAGATAAGACTGTCCTGTCGATAATCGCATCCGTTGCATCCACTGCATCTCGATGATAAGTCAGTTTCTTGGTCGGTATCGTCAGATCGATCCTGTTCCTTCCGTTGGTCAGCCACGATGTTCCATGTTTTATGGATAAGGTAGAGCAGATAAGGAGGTTTACCGCGTCGGCAAGGCTGCGATCGCGCATTCCCCATTTTTCTCACGGTAGATAATGCAGATATAAATCTTCCAATTTGCACAACTCTCAATTAACACTTTTCGTAGAAACACGATTAGTTTTTTTATTCTGTTCTTGATATAATTAAACTCACCAAATTTCAATTGCTGAATCATTACATTAGCAAGTTTCCAAGCTCTTCTATTATTCAGTCACAATTAACAACGCTAAATGCTCTGTTAATCCCCGCTAGAAATACATTTGTACGTTACATTTGTAATGCTTTTACAACAGTCTGAATACGATTAGTTAATCGCAATTAAATTTTCATCGGTTGCTTGTTCTCCCGCGCGATTAACCTGAATAATTGATACATAAATTAATAGCGCGTGCTATAAACCGCTTTTGTGTACTTCTCTCTTCTCCAAGCAAAATCCTTCTTCGTATCCCCAAGATATCTCGCTCGATACGCCCACATTCCTCGGACAATGAGAAATTTTTCTTCAGCGATGTCTCACCGATATCGCAGCAATCTCCGGCATTGTCTTTGCCTCTGCGATTGTGTTCATACTTGCGTAATTACGGGGCCTGGCCGACCACCCCTCGAACGTAACTATTTATTAAATAGCTGCGCTTCCTCGGCTGGCGAGAGGATTGAAGCGCCTCTTTGCGACCCGAGTTTATTAAGATATCCCGATATGTAGATTCATAAATTATCCTCGGTGCTTCTATACGCGCTGCCTCGTTTTACGTCGATGCTAGTACACGCTTTCGAGAGGATCGTTTCTTCTCGATAATGAATTGAGAACCGCATTTTCCACGATCGTATCCCAAATTAACCTTCCTTTTAATTAAATCGTATTACCTCGCGTGGGTAGGCAATTAAAGTCTCGTTACTGATAATGTTACACTTGTTCCTGTTATGTTTTGTGCGATGTTATCAGCGTGTCGCGTCCTTCTTCGTTGTACGTTGTCGTTAACATCATTAACGTCAGTGTCGTCGGTATACCGAGGATTTTCACGGGGGACTGTTCGCGCACTCGTATGGAAAAGAACGAGCTACCTCGAAACGTTTCTGCGTGTACTGTCGCGTATGCCTTCGGCTATTCATCTTCAGCACCGATTACACCTTTCATCGCGCAAAAACTTCCTTGCAGTCGAAGTAACGGGTGCCCTGCATGAATTCGAAACGCGGCTTCGGCATACCAAACGTCAGATTGATTTGTCGTTTCACAGTTACCTTCGCAATTTGTCGCGATAACAATCACGCGAATCGATGCGGATCCGCGTAAAAAGCTGGCACGATGTTAATTAACCGCTCGTCGAAGGCCGAGTCTGGAACAATTGCGTGCGCGAACTTTTGCAAAAACTGAACCAGACGATGCGGCTGGAAAACCTAGTGATCCACTGACATTATGTGAAAAATCGTTGGAACCGTTATCACATTGCTCTGCTACTCGGAGAAGTATTTTTCTTCCGTTTATGGCCAATGATTTCTTGCGCCTTTCTTTCGTGGAACTGTTATTCGTAACACGCTTTGCCGTGTTTTCACTTAAATTACCGTAAACCGTAATGATCTCGTATCTTTGAGAAATCCTCGCCTCGCGTTACGATCTCCAAGGAACAACAATCATAAATTCGAAAATTCACTCTCTCGGTATTTATCAACACTGATCGCAACTAAGACTGCGGTTTCGAATCACTGTAAACGGTTTTGCATCGAGTCTTCGCTGATCGGTGTAATCGTCTCAATTACGCTCGATTTCTCTTGAACACCACTTAAATGTAACTAATGAAATCCATCGAAAAGTCAATGATCCGGTATAGTTGTAATTTCTCCGTTCACCATCACAGAATCACATTTTCACTTTCTTCTTCGTGTGTAGATCCTCTGTCACGCGCCAGCGATCGATGCGATACGTTAGCCGCGTTGAAGGTGGATCGAAATTTCGCTCTTATAAGTTTCTATTAAAATTACTCGGCGTGCGTAGAGAACCCCCTCGGGTGCATCGAAAGGTCGGTGAAAAATCCTTATAGAAGAGCCTCGAGAGGCATTCACCGGGCGGGTTTCAACAGCCGACTGGCAACTCGTGAATGCCCCCAGGTGCACGTGTGAGTATCGCCTCTCTCCAGCGAGACTCCTCTACATCTCGCCTCGCGGTTCGCTCCGACACGACGTCCAACATCATTCTCAGACTGTGGGTCAAGCCACGACCTACGTCGCATCAATCGCCAAATAGGTCGCACCAAATAACAGGTAAACAGAGGGATGAATTCTCACTGGGTCAACTTCTCCGGCCGTCTTGATCTTCTGATGAGAAACGAGTCTATCTTCGAATAGATCGTCGATAAATCAAGATAGCTAAAGATAAACGTTCCGAGGTTACGTCTATCGGAAAGGTCTGTCTATTTCATGGCTATTAAGATTTCTCAGTTTCAACTATGATACCAGTAGACTGTGAATAATGTCGATTGCAATCGAGAGTCAAACTTACGATATTACAGTGGCTGATTAAATTATTAGAGCCGTGGTATAAAAAAATGGGTTTTTTCGTGTTTGTGTAGAAATAGAGCCACAATTTTAAGGTTTTCACATCGTGTAACTTTTAATCAATAATTCTCCGCTATTAATATACAAAAAAATACTTATAAAAATGATCAAATCCTCAATTCTTTTCGGCATACTTTCGATGCATTTTGAAGCAATTCATTTTGATTGCTTTATTTCTAGCCCATACTTCTATCAAACGTTCAATCAATTGACATTTATTGCTAATAATAAATATTTCTACAAATTTTCGATGGGGTTGAGGTCCAGAGAATTTCCAGGCCAATCAAGAACTTTCACTTTTTTCAACTCTGTATCATAATTTTACAAGCATCAATATATCATAAAAAAAGTAACAAAAACTCTGTTTAACTCGATTTTCATTTAAAAATTAATCATTTTTATGTAAAATCATCAATTTATGCGAGTGGCTCTAATAATTTGATCACCCACTGTAAATTCAGGCTTTCTCCATGGTCGTCCGCCGTTTAAGGAATGATCTATTACAAAGAACAGAACGGACACTTAACGCTTCCTTTTTATACTTAACAGTTTCATTTAGTTTGACGTTTAAGACTGTTACAAAAAAGTTAATAATTTTCTTTGAGAAACATAGTAGAGTTTGACGAGGAATTAGATAATTAGTCGTTCCATATACAACATGGATAGAGAAGTAATTCAGAGGGGTGTTTGAAAAAATTTTGTTGCCCGAAGGAAATTGTTATGGCTTTCTTGATTTACAAGCTGGGTTTGAATTACTTCGCTCATCGAGGTAAAAGGTGAAATTCCAGGCAAGCCTTCTTCTTCGCAAAGCCTCGTTCCAGCATTAATAAGACCCCTTGTAAAATAGATACTTCCTTCGAACGTAATTTGCATCGTCCGTCGGTTACGTCCTTTCATTTCGGATCGTTTTAATCCGCGAGAGGTTAAATTAGATTTTCTGATCCGATCGAGTAACGCGTTGCAAAAATTTCGTAACGAAATATAATCGAGTAGAAGCGTGAATTGGCTGAGGTACGGTTTTCACGTATGAAAATGGGTCTGTACTGTAACTAGCGCAAGACCCCTTTAATCAACAGAGCAGGAAAACTCGAAGGAAAACATTCTTTTCGCTAAACGATTTATGGTCGCGTTACATCGTTTGCCCGAGGAACCGCGTTCTCCTCGTCGATTCATCAATCACATTTGCCTGATCGTATTATCAAACATGAATGGCCACTAATGTACCGTTTAATCCGTAAAAGGTTTTTCTTCCTAACCGTTCTGCATTTTAATAACTTCATCTTTCATCGTTCATCATCGAATATTTTTTGTTAATCCGGTCACGTTATAATGGAGTTTCTTTCTTTTTTTCTTTTTTTTTTTAATGAATCTTAAAAAGTCTGTAATTCACAGGGACCGTCTATTTTATGGCGCGTAATTGGTCAAATCGTAGAACCATAGGCACATTATTACAAGCCGATGCTGGGTCACGTTTCATGTTTGACCCAAGACATAAACGAGTACTAATAGTCAGTGTAAATCTTGTGGCGGAGCCAACAGGTTTCGGACTGAAAAATCGCGTTCCACAGTCGGCAAGTTTCAATTCCAACGTCGACGAATCGAACCCTCCTTCCTCTGCTCTTTCGTCCGCGTAATTTCACGAATTTTTCGCGGCCAAAATACAAATGACGGCGCAACGGATAAATGATAGCAGCCGTGTATCACTCAGCGAAAAGAAACCGTGTCCGCTTCCGGCTTCTTGTGCACTACCGGAAACATGGAAACGCTGGTAACGCTGAGCTGGATTCTGCTAGAACGATTATTACAGTCTTCAGAGATTTGATTTTTCCTCTGTAATATAATTCCTATCAACTTTCCAGTTTTTTAATAACCGCAACCATTCATCATCCTCTCGATTACGTTGCTGAACACATTACTTATCCCGCTAATAACTTTATTCTACACGGAAAATAATAAAGTCGATGATACACATTATTTACACCGAATTAATAATTTATCAACGTCCGTAGGTTTCTCTTCACCGTTCAAGAATTAAAAACGCTGTAACGTTTTACTTAGTTGTTTTCTATCGTATTTTTACTTTTCCTTCGCAATGCTTTCGTGGTAAACGCAGGATAGGAGAAAATGAGCGGGTAACATGCAAAATCTCCGTTCGTCGTTTTATCTGGTAGTAACCTTTGCGTAATAGCATCGTGAATGAAAGCTTCTCAATCCTTTCACGCGAGGCAGTGACCTTTCAGGAGCAGAGGAACATCTCCGATCGCGTCGGTTTGTATCGTTTCCTTAGCAAGTGTTAAACGTGGCTGCCGGTTAATCCCGTGGGTTAAGACGGATCTCTGACCACGGCAATTCCACTGGGTCAGATTCATGCTTGACCTGGGCTGAACGGATCCTTGTAACCATGTATCAAGCGGTAAGAAACACCGCTGCTTCCGGATGCTTGCGCAATGTCGGGAACAAGGAAGTAAGGAAAGAAATGATAATTATTAGAGTGTAGATAGAGGAACAAATGGTGTGTTGAGAGAGGAAAATCAGTGGAGCATTTTATTCGCGGTGCGATTAGACTATCACTTCCTAGTAGTTAAATATCATCGTCCCTGTTAATTCGTTGAATTATCATCGTTCTTTCTTTTGCGAGATCGCACAGTGTGTTAAAATAGCCGCCTGACCGTGAAAAACTATTTTTCAGCTTAAAAGTGTAAAAATTAGAGAGTGGTTATTGGTTATTGGTTATTGAGAGTGGCTTCCTATTAATAGTTGAGACATTTCTACGATATTGAAATTTGAAATATTTAAAATTGAAACTAGATTATGTATATCGGATAAGTTTCCGAATGGCCATATCAAAATTGAGAACTCAGATTCGGTATATAACCTAAATTGAATACCAGAAACCGATTGAAATTGGTTTCAGAGCTGGATGTCTTACCATTTTTGAGATATCGTGGTAAGAAATTTTTGTACAATTTTGGGACTATGTATGCGCTATTCAATACTGCGCATGCGCTATTCGATACTGAACATATACTATTCGATACTGTGCATACACAGAACCTAACCTAATCTAACCTAACCTTACCACGATATCTGGAAAACGGTAAGACATCCAGCTCTGAAACCAACTTTAATCAGTTTCTTGTAGTCAATTTAGGTTATATATCGAACCTGAGTTCTCAATTTTGGTGGGGCCATTCGGAAACACAGCCTTTATATCTTATAAATTAATATCAGAACAATAATAAAATAATAATATGTTAATAATAATACAATGATAATTATACTGGACTAGATAAATTAACTAACTGCTATACAATAAGTTAATTAGATTAATTGAAAGTATATGACTGTTTTAGCAAAGTTATAGAAGCTGGAAATTTAGCAATTAGTCATTTTCAATAAACTGCTAATTTTTGTCAGCAATGTACAAGATAAATACCAAATGGTGGTACCATAATGAGTTATACGCGAACATTTTCATTAATGAAAAACCAAAATACTACTCTGAACCTACTCTGAAAAGTTATCAAATCCTTTTAATCTTTGAACCACAACATTGAAGTACGTACCTTCCTGTATAACACATGTGACACACAAAGTATATAACCATTAATATAATCGTTTACGAGAAGGAATAACATTAACCGCAAAATGGTATTCTTAAAGACAATAGAAATAACAGACGTCTGTGTAGATACATATTATCCTATATAAACATTTTTTATATAGATAATCAACAACTTAATTAAGGATCATTAAGCGTTTGGGAACTTGAAAAATTAAAAAAGTCATAATAGAAAATTATGAAAATTTTGAATTTATCGCCGGTCGGACGGCTGTTTTGCGCCGTTGGGAGATCGATGCCGTTTAATCGAATCGATCGATTCGAAACGATCGATTAAAAGTTTCGCTCGGATCATAATGTTCGTAACGCGTTACACTACCCTGCGAACATTCTCCGAATGATTAGACGATGCGAATATCGTGAATAGGAATTCGATGATTACCCGCTTCTTTTTTCGACGGAAGCGTACCGATCGGTTAAAGGTAAAAAGATATTGTACGAAGATTACAGGGGTACGGGTGTGTACAACGTGGTAGACGTTACTTCGATACTCGCGGTGTTTTATTATTATAACGTTCGGTCTTACATAAAGCGAAGATACGATTCCATGAGAAAAGGCAGATGCGCAAAAACGACACACAAGACGTACATATAATACCTGTAATACTCGTGTGACCGTGGTTTGGCATCGAGATAGCTGTGTGCATTTATGTAGCTAGTACAACAGGAGTACATATAGACGGTTCAGAGTGTATTACGTAAGAAGCTTCCTGAGAGAAAGATTGTCTGCTAGAAAGCATGTCAATGTGGCAATCTAACAGTTTTTACGTAGTTTTCTAATATCGGTTTGTTTCTTGCGCCACTCTTCCACGCCGCGCTTCGCTAGCCACAGGCGATATAAAATCAGACGTAATCATTTTTTTTTTCTAATTCGGTTAGGATCGTTGTTTTATACAGGAAGGAAAGAAACACGATGATTCTATTTTTTTTTTTTTTTTTTTTTTTTTTTTTATCTCATTCAACCTAGATTCTTCATTTTGAGGGAATGACAGGGAAAAGGCGAGGAAGAGAGAACGGTTAACGCGTCGTCCTTCGGCAAAGACAGCGAATTAAAGAGTTAAAAAGT